GTGTTCAATTCAGTAACATTTTAATACATTCACAAAGTTGCGCAGGCATTGTCATCTCTATAATGGTTCGCTGTTGCTTACAGGTTAAGGTAGCAGCTCTGCCCACATACTTGTCCATGTTATCTTTCCAATCCTAACATAAATACCCTAGTCCAGCTGGACTGTGCTCTCCCTTCCTCTGCCCCTTATAAACTTCTAATATGTAAAGCAGGGGTAGTTGTAGTAGCGTCTCATATTTTATGTCCATCCAAATATTTCTCAAATAGATTCTGAGGCCATGGTTTCCTATTGTCATAATTTTTGTCTATTCAAAGTGTATACTTGAATTGCTGTGCCACCAACTTAGCAATTAACCCATACTACATTATACTATTGTGTATTAACATTTCTTATATTTCTTTTTTCTTTGAGTCAGGGTCTCACTATGTAGCCCAGGCTGGCTTCAATCTCGTGGTGATCTTCCTGCCTCATTCTCTTGGGTGCTGGGATTACAGCATGCGTCACTATGCCCAGCTGTTTATTTATGTTCAGGTCTGTCTCTCTCAGAAAAGCTGTAAAGTATTTGTAATAGCTAGCTACTGCTTTGTAACAAATCACCTACAACTCTTTATTATTTCTATAATCTTTATTATTATAGCTCACATGTCTGGAGAGCTGGGGTTGGGTGACCTTGGCTATGTCCTGGACTCTTTCAGATCCTGCGGCTCAGCCAGGGCCTCTGCTTCAGTTGGAGATTGACTGCGGGAGATAAGATGGTCAGTTCTCATGGCAGCAGGCTAGCATAGCCCTGTCCTTCTTATGGTGATGGCAGAAGTCCAAACGCAAGTGGAACCAGGCAAGGTCTCTTGAAGGCTAGGCTAGGAATTGACATATTATGACTTCTGCTCCATCTACTGGTGGATGCAAACTGTGTGGCTGAGCTCAGAATCAAGCCGGTAGTATAGGCTTCCTCTCAGTGGGAGGAAATGTAAGGCTACATGACAGGAGGGTGTATAGGAAGGAAAGAAGAAGTAGGGTCTTTGATGCAATTTATTATATACTCAAGAGCAGATTCTTCTGTTTCCTTGTATTGGCCAGGCCTATGTTGTATATAGATGTAGCAGTTACCTATTACTTTGTAACAAGCTAGCCCCAATTTAAAGATCTATATCTATATCTATATCTATATCTATATCTTTTTTTTTTTTTGGTACCGGGGATTGAACTCAGGTCCTCGAGCCTGCGAGGCAGGTGGTGGAACCATTGGGCTAAGTCCCTGGCCCTAAAAGAAATTCTAATAGCTTAAAATATCATCCATTTTATTCGCTTCTGGCTCCATGGGCTAGCCAGGCATGGCTCAGATGGAATGGCTCATCTTTGTCTTATGTGATGCTAGCTGGGCTCGCTCATGTGGAATTCACAGGACCAGTCCTGTCAGCTAGACTGCCAGAACACTGGAACCTCCCTCTCTTTGTGATCTTTCCAGTGGGCGGGGCACCCCTGAACCCCCACAACTCCCCTAACCCCCTTCCCCCCACCTCGCTGGCTTGCACTCTCAGACCTCCTGATTGTGCCAGTCTTTGGACCCACTCTGCAGAGGCAGAGGTGGTCATAAAGTGTATTTTTCTGAGTTCCCAACTTTGAACATCTTTAAAGAAAAGGCATGGGAAACCTGTAGTAGAATGGTGTGGAGTTCAACCGTTCAGAAGGTAGGGGAACTCAATCTGGGCCTTGCAGCCCAAGGTCAGTCTGCATCATGGGGTTCAGCCATCAGCTAACTGAGATCAGGGGTCTTGCATCCTAGCTCTGTCTGAGCCCCCATCCTAAATGGCAAATATACTATATTGAAAAGTTTGTTCACTACAGACATGTTTTGGACTGCTTCTTGATCTCAATTTAATTCAAATGGTTTAAGGGAATAGACTAGTGACTACCACAGGTGGTCAGTTTCCAAATTGTGCTTGATTATATTGTGTTGCTGATTGTATCAGTTGGGATAAAGGATTGTTGTTGATTTGATGAGCTGTTTTCTCTTATGTTATAAAGATGAGAATGTCTGTGGATCGTTAGAGACCCAGAAGCTAGGGCACAACTATAGCAGGAAGATTTGGGTGATAACTCAGAGATTAAACCAAGGACAGTCCAACAACAAAAATAAAAATGAGAAAACACTTAAGCAAGACACAAGGACAGACTTCCACTTCACCAATGGCAAACAGTAGGGCAAATGAGGATGAAAAGGCTCATAGTGAACCACCAGGACACCCTGAACTCAAGCACAGGAAGTAACAAAACAGATCAATCAGGCTCTAGAAAAATTCAAAACAGAAATAATTTCCCAGATAACCATAGAGATGGTGAGCAAAATGAAAGTCATGATTCAAGACTCTAGAGCAGAAACTGACAAAAAAATAGATGAGCTCAGGACCATGATAGAAGCCATGAAGGCCCAGCATAAGAAAGAAATGGAAACAATGAATGCCCAACAGAGGAAAGAAAGAGATGGAATCCGTAAAACAGATTCAAACAGATATCCAGATTAAACACTCCAGTGAAAGTGTATGCAACAGAATAAAAGAATGCGAAGATAGAATCTCAGATATAGAAGATAAGATTGCAGTCAGTGTCTGTGAAAAGAGAGGTCTCTTAAAAACAGTAGGGGATAATGAGAAATCGATCCAACAACTCCTAGATGATGCAAAGAAGAATACTATAAGACGTGATAGGAATCCATGAAGTAGCAGGAGAAAATACAAATGACTTAAAAAAGCTGTTCACAGAATTAATGACAGAAAACTTCCCAAACAGAGCAAAAGAATTTGACATACAGATAAGTGAGGCATATAGGACCCCAACTAGCCAATCAAAAAAAAATCTACACCTAGACATATAATAATCAAGATCCCAGAAACCCAACATCAGAAGAATAGAAGAACAAAATACTACAAGCAGCAAGAGAAAAGAAACAAATCACATGCAAAGGAAAGCCCATCAGAATCACAGCAGACTTTTCAACACAAACCCTTAGGGCAAGGAGAGCCTGGAGTGAGATATTTCAAATACTAAAAGAGAACAACCTCCAAACTAGACTGATGTATCCTGCAAAACTCTCTTTCAAAATGGATGGGGAAATAAGATACTTCCACGACAAAGAACACCTGAGAAACTACATGAATACCAAACCAGAATAAGCAATTCTAAATATCCTAGAAAAAGACAATGAAGGTCACAACACCATGAGGCCCAACAGAGCAAATCAAATAGGCAAGAAACTAAAAGGAGGTGAAAAAGTAAAAAGAGTCAACAAAAGGCCAATAACAGAACAATAATAAGTCAGTACATATCAGTTATAACCAGCAATGTCAATGGCCTCAACTCACCAATCAATAGAAATAGACTGGCAGAATGGAATAAGAAGCAAAATCCAACAATATGTTGTATACAAGAAACACACCTAGTGCAAAAAGAAGCCCATAGACTGAAAGTGAAAGGATGGAAAACAATTCTCCATGTGACAGGAGCCCAGAAAACAGCAGGGGTAGCAATCTTATTTGCAGACAAAGCAAATTTCAAACCCAAATTGATTCTAGTATTATAGATGTCGGACGGTACTGTATCATACCTCTGTCTGTGAATGTAAAATATCTTGTACCTGCTTTATGATACATAGTAGTGATTGTGCTTTATCAGAGCTATTTTTAATGATGTTACTCTAGAATGTTCTCTTTCCAGATGATGATTAAAATGCTAATAAAAAAAATAGTGCCAGGTACCACAGCAGCAACAGAACTTTGCTGTTTTCTGGGTATTATTCTTTTCTTTGTTTTTTTGTTTTTTGTTTTTTTTTAAATGGAGTGTGCTGAATGTCTATAATTTTGTTCAGATGACTGCAGAACCTGGAAAAGCTGTTGCTGCTATTGATGCATAACATACTGCTATTATTGGTCTTTTTATATAAAATTTGAATTTTTGGAAACTTTGTGCTGTCGAGTTTGGAAAAAGTTCTCAATTTACTGTGTTGAGTTGGTATTGTACAGAAATTAACAGCCATATTGGTCTAGAAATGTTAATTTTTTTCCCTATTTGTATAGGGGTAATGCATTGTATTAAATATGTAAGGTCATATCTATGTGGGTTTGATTACAGAAACTAATAAATTATTCTTAAATAATAAAAAAAGAATAATATAAGACTACAAGAGTAGCAAGCAATTTAAATATGTTCAGGGACCATTTTCATCTTCAGAATTAAGGATTATTTTAATTTTACATCATTGCCTTTTCTCTTTTACTTTCCTTTTTAGCTTTATTTTAGGATTCCCTATTTTTAATGTTCATACAGAGATTTCTTTAACTGAAATACCGAATAGTTTCTCTGGTGTGAAAAACTATAATCGTATACAAGATCCTAATGAGATAATAATGTGAAATAGGAAGTAAAGGGCTAAAGGTGTAGGGAAAGTGGGAAGGGTGGGGGAAAGGTAATAAGTGAGAGGAAAAAATATGAGAAACTGAAAAAATGGAAATAAAGTGTTTGTAAATGGGGAGGGGAGGAGGGGGGGAAGGGAGGGCAGGGACAAGGGGAAAAATGAGAATAGAGAATGTAACAATAAACTCAATAAAAAGAAAAAAAATATAGCTGGACTTTCCCCCACTACAGCCAGCACAGGGTTCCAGGAGAGTGAAACCAAGGCCTCTAGAAGCAGACTCAAGCTTCACAGCAGTTCTTCTGCATGCTGATGGTGAGAGGAAATCACAGGGCTAGCCCAGATTCAGTGCAGGGAGCAATACATCAGACTCTCGATGAGAAGTATGGCAAGTTGCATTGCAAAAGGGCCTATGAGATAAGAGGGATGGTCACATCTGTCTCTGGAAAGACAATGCCACAATAGTTAGAAGCCAGTGAACACTTTTTGAATGAGCATTTGGGGAAATGAATGAAGCAGAAGCAGAGAGTACTAGTGAGAAGGATCCAGTACAAGATTCTGATGCAAGGCAAGTAATCATGTCTTTACTTTCTAGTTATCTTCGGATTTGTCTGTGAACAACACAGATGATGGATTTCCTCAGATCCGTTGGCATCAAACAGCAGACGTTGGCTTTGTACCCAACCCAAAGATGCCCAATACTTTCATGGCTGTGGCTATGGATCTCTGTGACAGGGACTCACCTTTTGGCAGGTATGGGCTTTGTCTGACCAGAGTACGTTATTTGCCTGGAGTCCTTTACTCTGCTATTCACTTGGGAGGGGATAGATTCCAGTGACGGCGAACCTTTTAGAGCTTTTAATGATAGCCTGCTGGGGCACATGTGCCAAAGGCTGGCCACAACTGGTCGGGCTGTAGATTGGAGCTCAGGTGCATTATGCATCAGTCATCTATGCTGGAATCTGCTGCAGTAATGACAACAACCACAACCACAACAACCACCACCCTTCAACATCTCAGTGCTTTGATGCGACACAATTTATTACATGCTCACACTGACCAAAGAAAGTCAACAGAAACTTTAAAGTTATCCATGAACCGAGACTCGAAGTTGCTGTTTTCCAGTCACCTTCTAGTCTCACATTGGCGTTAAGTGCTTCCATCTGGAGGCAGTCTAAAGTCCATACTGCACCAGCCAGACCGTGTTAGATAGCCGTGGTCACTTCATGACAGGAGGCCATGGGATTCTAACATGGGCTCAGAGCAGGACAGAGTCTTCAGGAACAGCTCCAGAGAGTGCCATATACTAGCGGTAGGATACAAGGGATTTCAAATAGGAAATGGAGCCCAACACACAAATCTAGCCTATAGTAGGAACTTGATTAATATTTATTGAATGAACAAATAAAAGCTAGTAGGGACCAAATTAAAAACAGCTGATTTAGATGGCACACTTGCCTTTTAGTGGAATGGTTGTACATGTTTGCTCTCCTAGGTTAGTTCCAATGGATTTGCTCTCACCTTCTTTAGTCCTTCCTTCTAAACCATTGATGGCTTCAAAGTTTCCAAATCCATAAAGGCCCAGAGCCCCACCTATGTTTACCATCCACCATTTCTCTTGAGGTGACTTCAGTGAACATGGAATTCAGGCAACTTGACTGGTAATATTCTTAAAGGGTGCTGTGTATAACCTTTTAAAAAAAATACTCTTATTGTTAAGCTAAAAAATCAAAGTTCTCTATTGTTCTTCATCCTGTAGCATCCATCCCAGGGACAAACAGACTGTGGCTTATCGGTTGCACTTGGGAGCCCGTGCTGTGGCTTATGATGAGAAGAATTTGATCTTTCAAGGACCACTGCCTGAGAAGATAGAACTCTTGGCTCACAAGGGTCTGCTCAACCTTACATATTACCAGAAAATCCAGGTGCAGAGGCAGGACAAGAAGATATTTGAGGTGAGGAGGGGCTCATCCTGTGCTAAGAGTTAGGAGCCCTCTATTCTGGTGTTATTCTTTCTCATTATAATGTGATCATGAGGCAGATCCGAGTTGGATGGGGGTTGAGTCAAGCTTACCTTAGGGGGATAAGGAAGCAGTTATTCATTAGCTGAGAGACAATTTTGATAGGCAGGACAATCAAGGAAGGGAGAACAAATCTCTATTAAATATATTCCTTTTGTAGTCTCCTCCCAGAGTAACCATCTTTAGTCAGGGAAGGGCCTGCAGCCTTATTTGTAGTTACCTACTGAAACATCATTCCTCCAGAATATTCCACTTATCCTTGGGTGAATTATTTTTCTTGTTATGCTGTCCTAAATTCTACGTTTTTGAGTTTAGTGTCTGTCTTCTTTGAAAAGCTTAAGCTCAGTTATTTGTAACTTAGTGTGAGCTAATATATTGCAACTACCTTTTTCTAATACTCAGCAGAAATAATTATTTTGAACTCTTACATAGCTGAGGGTGGGTGGTGGAAGTATTTCTGGGCGGAACATTTAAATGAGTGTCTTTGGGAATCTTAAGGCCATTAGGCTCGTAGAAGGTATGGAAAGAGGGCATCAGAGAAGAGAGAATATTAAACATAAACTTCACCCAGGATTTAGGGTGTTGTACCTTCTTCGGAATCCCAGGTATACAGTATCCATATGCTTCAGCTGCCTGGTCAGTGTTTGTCCTACTTAGCTTCTTTCTAGGCTCATTTTTAGGTAAATTTAGATTCCCAACAAGCCTGTGCATTCTGAGTTCTTTAAGTTGCTGGTTATCTGCCTATTATTATTTTGTTGTTGTTGTTTTTTTGAGACAGGGTCTCACTATATAGTTGAGACTGACCTGGAATTCACTATGTAGCCCAGGCTGGTCTCAAACTCATAGCTATCCTCCTGCCTCAGCCTCCCAAGTGCTGGGATTACAGGCATGCACCACCATACCCGGCTGTCTGCCTTTTATCTAGTGCTAGAGTCATATTTGGGGTCAGGAGAGAATTTAACCTTTGGATCTTGGACAGTTCGTGTTCCCCTTCTGAATTGCCTTCTGACTCCAGAGGTGCAGTATCCACAGCTCTTTTGGGAGCACCTCAGAGCAGGGGCAGCAGCCAGGCTGCTGGACTCACTCACATTCTTCCCTGCTTTGCCATTTGGTGGAGGAACCCCTGAAGCCTGTCCAGGGGAGCCTCCCTAAATGCTTTATATGACTGTGCTTCCTCATCCTCCTAAGTTAATGCTTTTATTTAAGATTTATTTTGGTGCTAGAGATCGAAGCCAGAGCCTCGTGCATTCTAAGCACTTGCTGCCCTGCGTACATGAACATATATTACTGATTTGTGCCCTTTTCAACCAGGCCCAGGTTCTGTATTGTAGGAAATGGGTTTCTGGCCAAAGGTGACTCCTTCTCTCCTTTCTTGTTTGTAAGTGCAGTTCCCAGTTTCTTGAGGTACCCTAACCTGACCTGAGCACTTGTATTTTGACTCTCTTATTAGATCTCATGTTGCAGTGACCATCAATGCAAGTGGCTTCCAGCTCCCATGAACACTTTCTCTACCCAGATCCTGACCTTGAGTATCAACTCTTGTCTTGGCACCGTGGCTGCTCTTCGCTATGCCTGGAGCACATGGCCTTGTGAATATAAGCAGTGTCCCCTCTACCACCCTAGCAGTAGCCTGCCAGCTCCTCCCTTTATTGCTTTCATTACAGAGCAGGCTTCTGGACTGTCCAATGACAGCTCCATATGGTCAGATCTTAAATGATGACAGGTCTTAATGTTGCTTTTGAAGGAAATTTATAAAATACCTGACAGCTCCCAGCTAGCACATGGCTATATATTTTGAGATAACTGGGGCTGGCAGACAACTTGAACTATTTGCCTTTGTTCCCTTATTAGCCTAATCCTCAACACTGGACTAATTCTGAACTACAAACTGGATCGCGGTATCATACATGTTCTAGCACTTTTGGCCCCTTTCCTCCAGAACTGTGCAATCTCAGGGTTAGAAGGTTTTAAAGGCCACCGAAGCTGACTAGTGTTTCCTGTGTCCTCTGCAGATTCTTTGACACGTGGCTATTGAGTCCCTGTAACAAGTTCCTATTATGAATTTTCCAAGTTTTTTTATAAATATGGAACTGAAATATGAAATTCTGAGTTTCAGATAATTGAAGACAGACTTGTTTGTATTTTCTTTAAGCCCAAAATAATTCTACTCCTTCAGTCTAAATAATGACTATTAAACAAACTGCCAGACCCATGAAAGCTTATTGGGAGAAGCTAAGGATCCGCCTTGAGGAATGAAGAGAAAGGGCCACAAGGGGCTACTACCCCAAGCAGGCACCCAGGTAGCAATAACTAAGGGATTGAGGTGGGGTTGGACCACAGGTTTAGGAAAATATGACAGTAGAGGTAACTAATGCCAACTGTCATTAGCATGAAGTATAAGTTTCAGGCCCTTTAAAGGCAAAAGACTTAAAGATAGTCCACACAGGAGGAAAAAAAGGCTGAAAGTAAAGCTACACAGTAAGCTTATAAAAATAGTGCAGATGAAGCAAATATGAAAGGGTTTTACCTATATTAAGAAGCATAATGCAGTTTACTAGTTGATTAAAAATAGCTGAAGAACACTGAAAACTATATCAGAAGTTGGAAGTAAAAGCATTTGATTTGTGTTGTTTACATATTTGTGACATCAAAACTGTTAGGAATGGACTTATAAAATGTGTATGAAGCATGAGGAAGGAATAAGAATGTTATCTATCTGTGGCTTTTATCCTTCGAATGTGAAAAATGAGACCTAAAGCAAAAAACATCACCCCAAGAGGTTCTGGTGTAGTGCCAAACAGCAGGAATAGTTTTATTAGTGTTTTTATTTAGTTAAAAAAAATCAGGAAATAGGGGCTGGGGATTTAGCTCAGTGGTTCTGCCACCTGCTTTGCAAGCACAAGGACCTGAGTTCGATCCCTGCTACAAAAAACCAACCAAACAAACAAACAAAAAAGTGTGCCCTTCGAGGGACTTCGGCTCCTCCAAAATTAGGATTACCTAGTGTAGTTAACTCCTTAATGGCCACACTTTTACCTCTTTATGCATCTAGCCCCATAGGAACCATGAACGTCCTAGAAAAACTAAATGTTCCTGTCCACCACTCTCCCAGCTCACACTAAACATATACCCATGGGCTGTTCTAATTTGGAGGCAGCTCAAGAGAGTTCTTGTACTACTGTCATGGTTTGTTTCTAGATGGCTCTCTAAAGCCTCACGCACTCATAGGTGGGGCTTTGGGGAGGTGGTTGGATCATGGAGGTGTGATACTTACCAGTGGATTGGTCCATTGATGAGTTATAGCTGAATGTAATGTTGAGAGGTGTCTGAGGAAGGAGGGTCACTGGGGGAATGGTCTGGACTCCCTCCCTTCTCCCTTCATCTCTCTGCTTCATGCTTGTCATGTCCCTTTACCATGCTGCCTTGCTTTGCAGCCAGCCATGGACTGAAACTTCTCAAACTGTGAGCCAAAATAAATCTTTCCTTCTTTAAGTTGTGTGTGTTGAGTATTTTGTCTCAGTAACCAAGAAAGTAACTAAGACAACTACCTAGTAACCTAGTACACATAGTGTAAAACATTTGATTTAGGTAATAGATATATTTTACCTATACACATCCAGTTTTGTGTAAATGAATTTATTTCAGTGTCTAAATAACTTAAAATATACTGTGGCAATCAGTATATGTCCCCAAATGGAAATAACTTTTTACTGCTTGAAAATGAACTAATAATCACTGTAGAAAATAAACATTAGAGAAAAGTGTAAGTAAATATCACCCCCACAATCATCATTCAGAAACTATTTTGATGAACATTCACATATACACATATACATTATACACCATATAATATATTGTTTTGTAGTGTTTGTTCACATTCTACTAAAATAATTTTCTTATGTAAACAGATTTAGTGTGGAAGCCCCATTCTGTATTCAACTAATTCTCCATTAATGGACAAACTGGCTGCTTTTTTTTTTTAAAACAAATTTCTCTGTTAAACTAATATTAAGATGAGTTTTACATGCAAACAACATACCTCATTTTATTTCTTAGGGTCCTTAACATGGAATAACAGGTTAAAATCAATATATATTTAAAATGTTGATCTCGCCAGCTGAATCCTTATAAAGAAGCAATATACATTCCTATTAATATATTATTTCTCCATCTTGCTACTTTTAGAACATCTTTAATAATCTGATATATGAAAATATTCTTAGCATTGGGCAATGTTTTTCAAATTTTTAAGAATTCAGGATCATTTGAAATTTAGTAACATTTGATATTACACACAAATAGTTGAACATAAAGTTTCAGTGTTTCTTCATGTGATGTATTCCAATATGTTCTAATTGTTTTATTTAACACAGAGATGTAGGTGTTGACCCTCTAAGCTTAGAAACGACCAGTGGGTTGAGATTTGTAATTTGAAAAACAGTTCTACTAACTTGTACTTACTTAATTAATTAATTAATTTATTTTGGTTTTTTTTTTTGAGACAGGGTCTCACTATGTAGTTGAGATTGATCTGGAACTCATTATGTAGTCCAGGCTGGTCTCAAACTCACAGCGATCCTCCTGCCTCAGCCTCCCGAGTGCTGGGATTATAGGCATGTGCCACCATGCCCGGGTATACTAATTTATTAGTATTAAAATGAGGCTTTTAATACAGTATTTTACTCAGGCCGTAAGAGAATGGAAAGACATCTGTTATATAATGGCAGCACCTATCATGTTGGCAAGTGTAAATGTGCCCCAGCAACTTATGCAGAGAAACAAGAGAAAAGAAAAACACTGAAACATCAACAGCTTTGAGTAATCCTCGTACTACTTATCCAAACTTTATACTGTTTCTTTTGCACTGTAAAAATTACACAAACTTACAAAAAGACTAATTATAAAACTGATACCACTTAATAGTTGGCATTAAGTCTGCCATGGCCAGCAAGGTGTGCTGTAAACAATGCATCTTCTGATCCCTCCCTCTGCTGGTCATTTACTACTATAAAAGGCTAATCCCATCTGTATTGTTTTCAGTTGGCAGTCAAGAATATAGCACGTGCTGAACAATTCATTCTTAATGCTTCTTCCCTATTCTTCTACTTCTGGTCCTTTGGTTCCCCACCCCCACCCACTGCAGCCAGCCCTGGGCACCTGTTAGATGGGGAGCTAAGGCATCTCACAAGGTGGTGTGGGGCTAGTAGTGTTAGGGAATGCTTTTAGCAGGGTCCAAAGAATTTAGTCATATAGGATGTGGAGATGTTACATAGCTAAAATGAAATGACAGGGCTGAATCTATTATGGAGAATAGGAACTAATCCCCAATTATGGTATATCTGAATTTATATTATCATGTGATTTCAACACATGAACTAAAAGCACTCTCCAGTAAGAGCTGAGGAGATGTAGAAAGGGTTGGACTTTTTGATCCCCTTCAAGGAGGTGCAAAATATAAAAAAAGATTAAGTTGTCTAGGCTGCCCTTGAACTTATATCCTCCTGCCTCAGCCCCCCAAGTAACTGAGATAATGGGTGTGCGCCCCCATGTCCAACAAGTCTGTTGTTTGTTCTTGTACTTGGGCAGAGTGGAGTAAAAAAAGCTTATATCCTGATTACAAGAAGATGGAAATAAGCAGAACTGTCAAGAGAAATTTATTACTAAAAATAAAGCAAGTGAAGTTTTCTCAGAGTACACTGTCACCATGGGAACTTCCATGATGAAATATATTATCTTTTTTATTTCTGAATTGTTGGCCTTCTTCCATACATTCCAAGTTAAAAACATTCTCCATGATGAAAATGAAGAGGCTCTGGTCAGAGCCTCTTGTTCAGTCTGAAGACTGGGCTGGGCTACACTGTGGTGGAGACTCCAGGTGCTGCAGATGTGTCTCTACCAAGGGTTCCTCTGTTAGGAACTCGGGCTGATAAGAAGACACAAAGGCTGCAGGCTGCAGCTCCGGGAGGTCCAAAGATCCTGGAGAAAACAAGTTCTCAAGTTCCACAGCTGCCTGGGAATCTCAGCAGTGTTTTGTCAAGATACACATGTGGCCTTTTAAGTCTTTAACACCCCTGCATCTGTCAGCCCAATTTTTCCCTTGGCCAGCAATCAGAACAGACATTTACTTTTACAGAAAACTGAAGTAGGTGAAGTGATTTGCCTATGGTTACATAGCACACTATACCTTATATGACTCCCATGCTGGAACCCCTGATCATTCCACCCATTTATGGGAAGGGATCCTTGCCAGTGTTACAACCTGAGACTTTTCACTTGAAATGCTGTTGTTTATAGAAAGCTTTCCCCTGTGTTCCACTTAGATCTTACTTAGCTTAGAGAATGAGACAACACAGTTTTTGTGGGGGTCCCGCCTTGCTAGAATCACAGGTGCTCCCCATACCTTCTATGAGTATCTAGGGATCTAGAAAGGCTGCCTCCACTCCCTCCAATTCAATACTCTCTGTGGCTGAATCAGTGAAAATTTCCATCACTTAATGCCCAGATATTTGCAGTACCCAGCAATGTGTGAAGAAGGTAGTGAGGTAGTGTTTTCAAAACAGAAAGGCAAAATGAAAAGATACCCGGCAGAATGGGATCATGATGATCTTCGTCAAAGGTCTGTCTCTGAAAAGCTTCAAAGCTGACAGCTGCATCATTCTCTGGTGGTTCCTGGGGTAGTTGCTCCTCTCCAGGTTTGCACACATCAAATTTCACCCACTGGTAACTGCAGGATCAAAGAGAAACATTCTTGAGGTTGTCTGCTAGCCTGCTCCAAAGGGGTCAGTTTTCGTTAGACTTCCTCCATGTAAATTGAGAAGACATACTAGCTAAGGAAAACAACAACAACAACAACAACAACAACAACAATGAAAATATGCCTCTTTCATAACACATTATTCTGCTAGACCTGTCAACCCTTTTGCTACTGCACACAAAGAAAATGATACAAATTAAGCATCCCTAATCTGAAAATCCAAAATGCTCCAAAATCTGAATATTTCTAAAGCCACGAGTAGAAAATTCCACACTTGACTTCATATGATTGGTCACAGTCCAAATGCAGGTGCACTAAAAGTACTGTGTAAAATTAACTTCAAGTTATGTGTATAAAAAGGTATGTGGAACATAAATGAATTCTGTATTTGTACTTGGGTTCCATCCCCAAAATATATCATTTATATGCAAATATTCAAAACTGGAAATATTTTGGGTCCCTAGCATTTTGGATAAAGTGTATCCAATTTATAATAATTATAGTATATAATTGCAAGCATAAGGTTCTGAGTTCAATCCCCAGTACTAAACAAAACAAACAAACAAACAAAAAAATAGTACAGTGAATGGGGTCCTGGCTCTTGCTCATCAGTCTAGAGTTATAAGAGGGTCAAATACTGAGATATATTTGTCAAGAAGCCAACATGTAGTTGTTTAATAAATATATGAATGGCTGGGTGTGGTGGCACGTGCCTGTAATCCCAGCACTTGGGAGGCTGCAGGAGGATCACTGAAAGTTCAAGGCCAGCCTTGGAGATATAGTGAGTTAAAGGCTGGTCTGAACTACATGGCAAGACCCTGTCTCAAAAAAAAACAAGAAAAAAAAAAAGTATGAATGAATAATGAGTAACTCTGCCAGTTGAGGTTTCTGATTGGCTGATGAACTTCTCTCAATGGAATGGGTTCGACCACACTTACTTGACACACTTTCGAGCTCCTGGACAACTCTGTATCAGGTTGTGGATAGCTGGATGAGAAAACCCAAAAAAGTCAGCTCCTGATGGAAGCAGGTTAGGCATCTGTTTTCCCCTAGAGAGGAGAGGGAGAATATGAGAGAATATGAGCTTGAGAGCTTAGAGGGAGATGAAGATGAATTTAAGAATGGAATGGAGGTACACAGGTTAAGCTTTTTTGACCTAGATACTTTGGAGAGTCTAGCTAATAAGATCTCTAAAGGATGCAGGATACGTTTCTAGAAAAAAGAATCTCTATTCACTAAAAGCAAGAGAAAAGGTCTACAGTGACCTTTTAGCCTGTTTTTAAGCTGTTGATCAACATACATAGTAGCAGTGATGGTCCTGAGCAGTTCTTCATAACAGCCATCTGCAGAGGGGCTGGCAAGAGCATTCTGGGGGTCATCTTCAGGAACAATTTCAAACTGGGGACGAAAGCACAATGAGATCATTCTGCAAGGAGGAAGGAGCAGAGTCATGTTGTTCCTAGAGATATTTTTTCACTCTAGATCTTGAAGCTGCTGTTATACCACACTAGAAGATGGGCACAATTTCCTGTTAAGTCAAAACAAACTAGTAAACAGAGAAAAGCCTCTTATTTTAGTTTTACACTTCTTGGCTGTTTTGTTCCCTAGCCTTTCTTATCCACTTACTTATATCGTTAAGCTAAAATACAGATACTATTTTGAAAATAAATGAGATCACCCTCCATGTCCAATGATGTTTTTTGTTCTCATCTGTACAGTTCTCTTGGAAATACAGGATTATCTAGAAGTACTGTATTCTGGGTCAAAGAATGTATTTCTTAAAATTATTGATACTGCCAAGTTGCACTACAAAAAAGATACCAATTTTCACTCTTAGTAATATGTACTTGTTTTCCTATACCCTCCTCAACTCTGATACTTGCATATGGGAAAAATTAAATTATTTAAAAAAATTATCTTTATTAAATCTATTGGTACATTTTAGGTATACAATACAGTTACATCCATCATTGGGTTCTTGTACCTTTATATAAGTTATCTTGGTTCTTATTTTTCCCCAGTCCCTAGCCCTCCCTTCAGTCCCTCCACCCTTCCCTGTTTACAAAGGCTTGTTTCCATGTTTTACCTTTTCATGTATTTTTTTCTTTTCTTTTTACCTTTCCCCTACTCCTCCATGTCCTCTTTTAGACTTTTCTTCCTATTGCACAATTACACATTTTGATCTTATTTACACTTTTACTTTTTCACACCAGAGAAACTATTTGGTATTTACATGTGTGACTTATTAATTTCACTTAAGAGTATGGCCTCAGTGTGCATCCACTTAGCTATAAGTCTCTCTAGTTTCTTATCATTTATGGCTGAGTAGTACTCCATTTTGTATTAAAAAAAACTCACATTTTCTTTATCCAGTCTTCAGTTGATGGGCAATTGGGCTGTTTCCAAATTTTAGCTATTACAAACTGTACTGCTATAAACATGGGTACACATTTATCACTGTGGTATGATTCTTTTAATTCTTTTGGGAAGATAACCAGCAGAGGAATAGCTAGGTCAAATGGAACTTCTAGTTGTTTGAGGTATTTCAATATTGATTTCCACAGTGGTTGCAGTCTGCACTGCCAACAATGAAGAAGGGTTCCTATCTCCCTACAACCCAAACCAACATTTGTTATTGGTTGATTTCTTGTTAGCAGCCATTCTTACTAGGGTGAGATGCAATTACAAGTGTTGTTTTCATCTGCATCTCTCGAATGACCAGTGATGTTGAACATTTTTTCATGATTATTTGGTGTTTTTACTTCTTTGTCTGAGAAATGTCTGTTCATTTCAGATGCCCATTTTTGAAATGGGTCTTTATATTTGGGGGGGGGTCTGAATTTTTTGAGTTCTTTATATATTCTAGATAGTAGACCTTTGTCTGAGGAAAAGCTGGTAACAAGTTTTTCCCACACTGTGGGTTGTCTCTTAACTCTGATTGTGATTTCTCTGGCAGTGCAGAAGCTTTTTAAAAAAGCTTCCCAGTTGATGCTTTGTGCTAGTTCCCATGTTCCGATGTTACTGAGGATTTGTTCATAAAGTCTATTCCTATGCCAATATGTTCAAGAGTTCTAACTAACTTATCTTCCAGCAAGTTTAGTGTTTGTTTTAATATTTAGATCTTTAATCCACGTGGATTTTAGTTTAGTGCACAGTGAAAGATTCAGGTCTAGTTTTAATCTTTAGCAAGTTGAAATCCAGTCTTTTGAACACCATTTAATAAAGAGGCTATCTTTCCTCCAGTGAGGGTGTTAGGCTCCTTTGTCAAAGATGAGGTAGCTGAGTATGTCAGGAGTTGTTTCTGCATTTTCTAATCTGTTCCACTGCTCCTCGGGTCTGGTTCTTTACCAATAGCATGCTGTTTCATCACAGTACTTTGCAGTATAGTTTCAAATTGGGGCTTGTGATACTCCCTGCCATGTCTCTGTTGCCTAGAATTGCGTTTGCTATTCTATGTCTCTTCTGATTCCAAATCAATTTTTGGATTGTTTTCTCTATTTCTATATACTGTTGGGATTTCAATAGGGATCGGTGCTGAATGTGTATAGCAGTTTTGGAAGTATGGCCATTTTCACTATATTGACTCTTTCTACCCAGGAACAAAGGATGTCTTTCCATTTTCTTGTATCCTCTTCAATCTCTTTTTCCAGAGTGCTGTAGTTCTCAATGTAGAGGTCTTTTGTTAGATTGATTCCTAGATATATCATTTTTTTGGATGCTACTGTGAAATGGGCTATTTCCCTCTCAGTGAGTCTATTATTTGTGTACAAGAAGGCTATCGATTTTTGAGTATTTATCTTGTATCTAGCTACTCTACTGCATCTGTCAATCAAGTCTAGAAGTCTTTTGTCAGAGTTCTTTGGATCTTCTATGTAGAGTATCATATCATCAGCAAATAATGACAGTTTACTTCCTTTCCTATCTTTATTGCTTTTATCTCTCATTTTTTAATCTGACTTTTTAAATCTATTCTATAAGAGTATTACCTGAATAGTATCCTTTCCTATATATTTTTTTCCCTGTTTGTTGCTTGTGTATTAACTCTAAAAATGGTGTGTTTTTGTCATTTAGAAGTATTTACATTTTTAATAGTCAAATTTGTTATTTTCCTTATGGCTTCAATGTTTCATGTCTTGCCTAAGCAAACCTAAGATTTTTGCCTTACCCTAAAATTTAAAAAAGTTCTTCTACATTTTCCTTTAACATTTATAGTATAAAATATTCTGTAAAGCTAAAATGATTAATTCACATTGGCACTTAGACAAATAGATCAATGAAATAGAATCATCTGGGAACAGATCCAAGTATTATGTATATTTATATACTAAAGTCAGTTGATGCTGGGGAAAAAAAATTGAAGCTAAATTACTAGTTCAAAAAATACCTATAAATATTGTCTAGTTACCTAAAACTGAAAACAGAAAATTTCACAGGTTCTTCTTTTTCAAAAATGGTTTAGCATTTTGTCTTTCAGAGGAAATTAAGAATCAGCTCATTGTCATTAAAGTTCTATTAGTATTTTGATTAGATTTGTATTGCATTTACAGATTTGTCATAAATGTGGCATACTGCTTACAACAGTCTTTCTGTTTGAGCACTTTCCAAAGAGAACTGCTGCAGAACCAAGGTCATGGGAACTCTCAGCTCTGTCTACAGTGCTGACAGAGCAATTCAACACCATTAGGTGTGATACGCAGGCTCAGGCTTCTTCCAGCCTCTGCACAAAGGGTCTTTACCTTGCCTATACCTCATCGCATCCAATCTAGTGATCTGTAACTTTGTAAGTGAAGCCTGGAACTCTGAAAATGGTCTAATTTTTCCTAAGGATCAAAAGGTGAAGGATGGAGAAATGACCTAGTATTTTACATTACGAAGGATGAAGAAAGGTTTCTAACAAGAGTAGGATTTGGGACTCCCAGGTCCTTAAGGGTAAGCAATGCATTTTGAGAATGCAGTCTTTTGAGAATGCAGTCTCTCTGCTACCTCCACTTTGGTCCAACCTGAAATGGCAGTGTAACAAACTAATCTTCCCTGAGCCGGTACTTAACATAAGCAGGCTTGATCTGGCCACACAGTCAAAACAAGGACAGTAAAAGTAGCATGGTTGACAGGAGAGGCATCTGTTTGAGAATTATATTCATATCCATTTCAAGGTGTAACTTAGGGCTAGTTGCTTTTTCTGTATCTCTGGTTACCCATGTGGCAATTATGCAATATCTACCATACAATAAGTGGCTGGAACAAAGTTTTCAAAAAAAGGTTATACTTGAATGGGTACCTGAGGCTGCACACCACCATCCTTGATCTGGCAGGTATACAGACACATCTGGTCTGGGCACTTCATGCTGGCATACACTCGAGTACTGCAGTAGCCCACAGGGTAGATGGCACTTTCATCATGGAAGCCAGGTCGGTCGGTGATGATCTATAAAAAAGATTCCCCCAACTTGGGTTTGAGAGACTGAAGGCTTAACAAATCCAGTTTATGTGGTAGCCTTTAGAACCACTTTGGGGCTGCAAAAAGTGGCTGAAATCACAGAGAAAGAGTGTCTGCTGTGTAGCAGACAAAACTGACCTCATTTTGTTAGGGACTGGAGTCTTTCTGGGGTTGTTACAGATTCCGGGGCTGTTGCTAATAGGAACAGGGAGGGAAGGCTCACCCCATTACCATGTTTCTCTGACTCTCCTCTCTATGTCGCTGGTCTCACTCACCTCCCCCAGGCTATACACTGTTAGACCCCCTAGTCCGATGGGAAACACAGGCCGTCCAGAGGGATCCAGGGCAATGGGCTGGACCAGCTTGCGAGCACCTCCCTCCATTTTCTTTTTCTTGGATGTTTTCTTCAGAACTGAAACGCAAATCTTGGGTCACCCACTTTAGCCCACTCTCAATGTTGAGGGGAAGGGAAAAATTTACATGTGAATGCCTAGGGCAATAAGCCAATCATGGTTTTACCAACAGATGGTCTTCGACTTACAATGTTGTTAGGTCCTGATAAACCATTAGTTGAAAATGCTGTAAATTGAAAATGCATATAATATATCTAACCTACCAAACATTATAGCTTAGCAACACAGTGTTTCCCCTCGTGGTCCTGTGGCCGAGTGGGAGCTACAGCTCACTGCCACTATCCAGCAATGCAACAGAACATCATTCTGCATATTGATATCCCAGGAAAAGATCAACACTCAAAATACAGTTTCTACTGAATGAGAATCACTTTCACACCACTGTGAAGCTAAAAAATCATTAAGTTGAACTATTGTAAGTTGGGGACCATCTGCATTCATTTAAAAGGCATATGGAGCTTTCTCCAGAAGCACTGAGTATCTCTGTCACCTGCCCACAGGCAGTAACCAGTTCCAATGTTAGGATCCGGCTCAATGCCTTACATTTTTAAGTCCTCTTTACATGTAAGATCAGAAATTTCCCAAGCTAATATTGTGCTCAAGAGGTCACCTAGCCCATTTCCCTGCCTCTAGAAAACAATGAAATGAATGCAGCTCAGACAGTTGGGGGAAGAGTGAGAGAGGAAGCCTTGGTTTGTTCCTTTTGCATTTAACCAGATCTAACTAGAATCTTTCCATCTAAAGTGGCTCTAATAAGATACTTGCTTTGCCATGGGGCTTTATGAGAATTATGAGACTTCAAGTGTGACTGTGGGCCACATGTGGCTAAGCATGCCATGTCCTAGTCATCTGTAGTTGAGCCACTGGGGCAACTGATATATTGTTTCCCCAAAGTACCTTCCAGTTTGTTGTTCTCTTTGCCTTTTTCTTTTTTCTCCTTCTTGGATTTCTTCCCAAATGGCTCCTCAGCACCAGTGCTGGGCCCAGACATGGGCCCAGCCCCTTGTATAGTTCCCACAGTGCTGGCCACACCATAAGTCAGGGGCAGACTGGAGCTGTGGGAAGGAGCTGCAGCCTGTATGTCCCCCTCAGTTAGAGCCTGAAGTTGGAGAAGCTTCTTTAGCAAGTACCTGGTCAGGAAAGAAAGGTGGCAAAGGTATGAAATTCTGTTCTGTTGTAATTCAGTATTGTACTCATAAAAATATGGCTCTTATTGAATCTTGGGAACAAGGAGGCTCAGGAGGATAATCAATACTTCAAAAAGCCTCTTGTCCATCTAGAAAGGCCGTCCACCTTGTGGTTGGATGGTGTTAGGCACTGAGAGGCATTTATTATGAATTAGATGTATATGTACCCACCGTGCACTGCAATGAGTAGTACAGACTAAATATTTATAGAATGAGCATTTCTTTTGTCCTTGGCTTTTACAGTTGGGGAATTCTAATAAGATTACTTATTAGATGTGGTAAGAAGGGTTGATCAGAAAGATGAGAAGAGGAGCTGTCTCAACATCATAGTCCAACACGATTTGGGTGTGTGTGAACTTACGCCACAGGTTGCGAGTTTCACTTTATTTGAACTCAAAATGAAGCCAGCTCACCTTCTTTCTTCTTTTGCTTTAAGGAATTTTTCTTCAAGACGAGCAATTTCATCACAAATAGCAGCATTTTCCTTTAAGAATAATTTTCAACATAAACACATAAAATGAATAAAAGATCAAGGTACTGTATTGGGATGAGGATCCATATTTTAAACCAAGAAAGTCTATGTCATTGGGAAAGAAGGAAGGATTATTCTACCTTGCAGACAAGCTATAAATAAATCTATAGGAAAAGGCAGTCAGGTTCTACCACAGGCAGGGTAACTGTATAACTTATGATCCAATCTCTGACACTTGTGAGTGAAAGGGGGGCACTATTAATGTTTATTGTAGAATAATGCAGTAAGCCAGGATTTTCTTGGACAAACTGAAATGTACAATTATACATTCAGCCTGATTAGGGTAGCCTTTGGCAGAGAAAAGAACAAAATTCATACTAGTATGTAACTTTTGAGGACTGTCCATGCCTTCTTATAAAAAATAGGCAATCTGACCCAAAGCAACCCATGTAATAGTTCTTTAGAGAGAAAACTAGATGGAACAAAATAAAATCTAATGTGTAAAATTCTTGAACTTTATAATTTACTTGTATATACTCAAATATCTTTTTTTTTTCTGATGACTATTTCCTAAGCACCAATCCTGAAGGAAATGCTGTTGTGCTGTTGTTCTACAGGTGGAACTCAAATTGAATGTTCAAAACAACATCCCTTTCATCACAAAACCTTCTTCACATACTCGAGGGAATCAATATCTTTATGTTATATAGGCTCCCTACCTTTGAAGTGTAGAGGATAAAAGAAAGGGAATACTCAAAGATTAAGTCCTCTTAATTCTACTTATTTTTCTCCAGTGCACATACCACGTGCTCAATAAATGCTTTTGGAATGAGTATTCTAATTACCAAACCTTTCCTTATGTTTCAAAAAGTGCATAGGAAGAGGAAAACAACAGATTCAGATGTGAAAGGCCATCATAGGAATCCCTCCCTATTTCCAAACACTGAGGCAAGCCTGAGCAAGCCAGAACACTGTGACAAAGTCATGGCTGGCAAGCCATTCATTCAATAAACCCGACGCCCCTACAATAAAACAAAGGAAGGGGCTGGGGTGTAGCTCAGTAAGTAGTGCACTCACTAGCATGTTCAGGGATCTGGGTATGATTCCCAGTGCGGTCAAAACAAACCTCGAAACACTTGGGAGACTCCAACGGACTTATCAAGGGGAAATTACTGAGAGTTCAGAACATATGTAGGCAAGGAGTCAGTTAAGGGGCTATGGAAAGCCTGGGAAATAAACTGTGTAGTGGAAATACATAATAAACTGGAAGTAGCGTTTCTAAGTTGGAGTCTAGTCTCTGACATAGCGCCCTAAAGCACATTTGAGGATGTTTTCTCATTTTTAAAAGTGCCTTATTCTCTCGTTATCTCAAAAAATCAATGCATTTCTGAAAATTATGAAGTAAAAACGGTAATGACCCAAACGTATTGGCAGATCTAAGTACCAAGGGCTATTTTTCTTTTAATCGTCTGCAAAATAGTCACTAGCTCCGATTACAGACGAGGACACAGGGTTAGAGAAATTAAACTTGCCCAAGGACACAGGTCTAACAAGTAATAAAGTATATCGAAAAGCTAACACTATATTCACACTGTCCCTCTGGGATGAGGGACAACTTGGGGAAAGGCTTCGCTAGAAAGCAGTATCGCGCCGGAGACTGGCGGAGTGACGAGCAGACTCACAAACACCGTGGCCTTTGCCGCTTTCCGCAGCCGTAGGTACTTTAGCCGGTACTTCTCGTTCTGGCTCTTCTTCGGAAGCTTTTTCATCCTGGCCTTGCTGGACTGCAGCTGGGCCCGCGGGGAGGAGGCGACGCTGCCCAGCAGGCTCATGGTCCGGCCCCACGACGGGGGCTCCAAGACGCAGCCGGCATTGGCTCCGAGGCCGAGGCAGGGCGGAAGCGTCGGCTTTGTTTGTTCTAGGTTGGAGGAATCTGGCCTCTAGGAAACTAGCTCTCCAGGAAGTCCCCAGAGCGATCAGTAGGACCGGAATTCCTACAAACAAACTCAGTACCCACGCTTCCTAGCAGTTCCGCATCTGTCTGGGCAGGGAGCCCCGCCGGAACTTACGTCAGGCTCAGGCCGCGAGTAATTTCCGGGTCTGGAAGGCTGGGCCATCGCTGACCTGTGGAGCTGTAGATTGGGAGAGACGGGTTTGGGCAGAGAACTGGGGATCGCGGTGAGCCGGGAGGGCCGGCGGCGAGAAAGGACAGTTCAAGTCTAGTAAGTCTGTGTGCCTAGCGGAGGATGATTATTGTTGCACAAAAGCCGCAGTAAAGAAAGCTTTACCAACCCTAGCTAGCTCTTCTTATTCGCTCTCCTAACAGGGCACTGCATTGCAACACCTTTTTCCCATTTCATACAGACCGACCTTGTTGGATTGTAGGAAACACTCCAACGCAAGTTCTGGGACGCTGCTTTTTTTCCCTTGTGCAGCTCACGAAACATTTATGTTGTGGTAATCCTAGGAACTGGGTCTACCGTAGTGAACAGGAACAAAGGTCTTGGCACTTTGACAGTTTAGAATTCGGTAGGGAGGGTGGAAGTGAAACCAAGAGTATTTCTGTACGTAAACCTCTATTTTTATAATTCTAACTTAATAACCAAGTTCTTCATTGGATTTTTTTTTACAATTATAAAAATTTTCTTGCAAATTTTAGAAATTTAGAAAATACAGAATGGGGAAAAAATCCACAGGTCCGGTACTGCAGCTCAATGATAGATCACTTTCCCTGGGTTTGATACCCAGCACTGCAAATAAACACATAACTAAATAAATAAATAAGGCTTGATCACATTTAATAAAACTTTGGATCCCCAAAAAACAAACACACCCGCAAGACACCCCCACACAATAAAACCCTCAAAAAACTTGGCACAAACCACTTTTTTTTTTTTTTTTTTTTTCCTG